CTTGAATCTCATGTGGGGTTTTCGTGGCACTTCATGGGATTTTATGACATGTAAGGGGATTTAAACGATTTAAATGGGGGATTTAAGCACAAGAAATGGGGATATTTGATTGGGAATTGGATGGAATGGGAATTGCAATGAGATATAGAACTTAACCAACAATCTGATATTTAATACCTAAGGAGGTCGGTTCATGTTACAATCTGTTTCTAGAGTTCAGAGGTCTGGTCGAAATCCAACATGCGGAGATTTGGTGTTGGAGGCCAACCAATTGCTTTCTCAAAATCCTGCAGGAAATTGGAGTCCCAACGTGATTTTCCCTACGTTCAATGGATTGGTTTAAGGGAAAATTTATAGGAAAACCTCATATTTAATGGGAAAATCGATGGTTCTGTCATTTTTGAATCATTTTATCCAGGGCCAATGTCTGGATTTCATATTACGAAGTTCCGCCATTTTTGGCTCGGCAGTAGGCTTCCGGGCTCGTCACTGCCGCGTTCTTCAGGAAACTTCCGTGAAACTCCTGTGCTTGTCCACCAAAAGATGAATGAAATTTGCAATTTGCAACTACTTCGCCAAATCTACATGTTGTAAGACCCATAATGTTGTAGATGATCACAGGTTTTCCAGTCACGAGCTCCAGATTCGTACCATGGTCACGACTTTGAGCATGGAAGATTGATGCACCAGGCAGGATTCCTCCAAGACCTCATTTGCTGTGCATCCAATGTCCCACCCGCAGGGCTCCCAAAAGAACTCTTGGGCATAGCGAGGATCCACGAAACTCAGAATGCAATATCCTGTGGCAGCCGGACTCAATCCAATCCGTGCCTAACAAAACGGCAATCACTGGGAGGAAATGGGCACTTGTAAAGCAATTGGCCATAAATCAAAGACTCTTGAGACGCTGGGAGTGCTGATGGCAAACTCTCAAGAATTTGCCCATGCCTTCGTTCTTGTTCTCTTCCTTTGAAAAAGGCAGGTAGAGAAAGTCCTTAGATGTGTCAAATTGGCTGTGGCTCTGCGGTGGATTCACTGGAGGGGAAAATGGGGAGATCTTGGAAAATCCCAGGGTTTATCATTCATCAAATTTACCATCTTGGGGTGCTACAGGTACCTTCCATTTTGTGAAAAGAAATCAAAAAGCGATCACGGACTCGCCTGCGAGCTGACACCATCATGGTCTGTGGCTAGGCCTCCTCACCAGCTTGCCATGGAACCCCCTTGTCTTCACCTGCGACTGAAGGCTGAAACGCAGATCTACTGGGTGCGTGTGCGTGTGAATGTGTATGCATTTATACTTGACTAAATAGGATCAAGTAAATGTGTATATTTATAATATAATATATACATATGTAAATATAAATATATACTAATATAATCTAATATATACTACATAATATGTCTGTGCGTGTGCACCCGCAGAGAGATGGAAAAAAAACGTATAAAGTGAGACAAGAAAACATAGGAACTGCATCCCTGTCCAACCCCGCGGAAACCTTGTGGAATGCCTATGGGAAACCCATGGAAACTCAAAGCCAACCCAGTGGAAACCTTGTAAAAACTCGTTGAAGCCCTTGGAAACCCATGGAGACCCTTTTGACCTTTGGTCCATGAATTTGGACCATTCACGGTCGATTTACCAGCCCAGTGCCTCCCCCAGCAAGTCCAGCTGTTTTGTGGACTGGGGCACGTTGTAGAGGAACAACGAAACCACCTCAATCCGCGCCAGTGAGGCTCAAGGAACTGCTGGTTTTTGGTCAGTTCTTCGGGTCCCCTATTTTGACCTGGCCCATACCCATTTGATTGCTGTGAAAAGCTCCGACTTCTGACATCTGAGCCAAAAGAATGTATAATATCATAATAATATATATATATATTCCTTTGGACAGGCACGTATTGATCTTCAAAAAACATGACATGAAATGAGTGTCTTTTTGCATGTTTGAAGTATGAAACTTGCATCACAAATCTCGTCCTCCAGCAAATCACACCACCGAGTTCCACCTTTTTCCGAAGACGAAATTGTGGTGCCGGAAAAACGCCACCGGCCTCGGGATCTTTGGGAGAAAGATCCCTGGGGATCCTGAGGACGCTGACGTCAGCAGATCAGACACTTGGATCGGATTTCCCCAGAGGCTGATTTGCTAGGTATCAGTCAAGCTCTGGAAACGATCCATGTGCCAAGTGCAAAGAATAATAGCACTTTGTACAAGGAAGATTGATGCTACAACTCTGCTATGCAGCTCGAGACAGGATATTAATACCCTTAGTTCGCATGCGAGTCTGTGGGATACAAACCCTTCAACCCATTAAAATGAAAGCAGAAATGACTGCTTCTTTGCTGCTTGTATTTTTGTCCTTGCCAGGAAATTCTTTGTCATGTAACCGGCCACGGCCATGTCTGACCATCACCGAGATGAGCTGATGGAAATGGCAGAGCTGTTGCTGACAGCTGGGAAAGCAACTGGCAAATTGACTTGGCCCAGTTTGGGAGCCAATCAAAGCAGGATGAGTGGTTACGGTGCTGTGCTGAGTGCTGCACTGTCGGCCATGAATGGGTAATTGGGATGTGATAAATGAGGAGATTTGGATTTCTGACTACCAGCGACTCAAAAGACTGGTCAACCAGAAGGCTGGGAATGCAAACATCGAAACATCCACCACTCGAAAATCTGGGTTGATGTGCCATGATGTGCCACAAACACACCAGGCTTCAACTCTTATGGGTGTTTATTTTGGCTACACTCCAAAAAGGCCACCGGCTTTGAATCTCCCTGGCCAAGATCGGGCCGCCGGCTAAGCAGGATGGAAGAGCAAACTGGGTGAACCGGGTGGGTACCGATGCTCTCAGGACTTCTGGTACCACAAATTGCAGGGTCCTGTTGGTTTGTATCCCTAAGTTGATTGTCTTTATCCTATCCATGTTTAACCTGAGCTGAACTTCCGAATCTCAAGCATTCTCAGACTTCGCATCCTGGGAGGAAAATCAGCTACCCAAAAACAATGGCTCACCGGTGCTGGAAAACTCCTGCAGTGAAGGGTGGAAAGGTGGGATGGAAGTTCAAACCCATCACTCCCTTCCAACCCAAGTGGCCCATGAATTAACCCCTGCAGGCGGTCCTAAGCTACGGCATGACTGGCAAGTTTTGATCTATGCAGCAACACCATTCCCTGTAGTCATTGGTCAGTTGAGCAGTTTCAAAAAAAAACTGTTCTGGGTCGATTGCATCGTTGGGTCTCTTTTGTCTGAGAGAGATTCTTGCAGTGGGTTATAGCCATCCCCGATAGATAGCGTAGAATATCCCCATAAAGTTTAACTATCCAATGTTAATATCTCATAGCATATAACTTAACTATCAAACGGGTTTTGGCCTCTCCATGGAACATGACATCTGCATCATGTCTGCCCCCCCAGCGGCAGCCAGAGCGCTGCCATGCTCTATCTGCCCCCCCCCAAAAAAAAGGTTGCAACAAATGGCTACAGACCTCAAATGATGGCTTGGTTATGCTTGGTTCAAGTAATTCCAAACAAGGCAACCTCTGAAACTGCTGGGAGTTCCTGTGGGAACCCCGACTCCTTCCAGTCACGCTTCGGTCACAGTTCGGAAGAGCGGCGGAAGTCGTCCAAAGTGTGTTTCAATCATATTGTGGACAGCATGCAAAGTGAAAGCTCCATAGAAAGGGTTGCAGTAACAAGCAGTAACCATTCACTTTCTGAACTACAACTTGTGTATAAACTGCACAAAGTTCCAAGCTCTTGTGACGTCAAGCGGTGGTGTGACATCCACTTGAGATGGGGAATGATTCACTCAGCGGCACATCGGCACCAACCAGAAATCGTGGTGCACTGGTATCACCACAAGATCTGCTTGGTTTCTGCCCGGAGAATATTAATCCAATGAGTGACCCCGATCAGTTTGAGTGCCTTCTAGTGCGCACTGCGATAAGTTTTGAGACATCGTGGAAATCCTGGAAATCCAATGTAACTCATATCTGTGGACATGCTGCTTATTCCCCAACCAGAAATACAGGAGTTGCTGTTTGCTGTTCAACAGCCAACTCAGTGTCAGGCACCGGAAATTTACCACTCAGCAATTGGTGATAAATTTATGTTTTCAATATTTTGTTGGGGTACTGGATACGCGACTAACTTCAAGGCTGGATCTCCACAAATGAGGCACAAAAGTCAATTGCCCGGCGGCTGGAACTTGGAGTGTTTCTCATGATGATTACAACCTCTGGGAATCAAAACTCCATCCACAATTAGGTGCACAGTGGTATGCATGAGGCACAAAAACTGAACCGAAGCTTCAGCGTTCGGGGCTCGAACTGCCTTTGGCAGACGGCCTTTGCTGTGACCAGCAATTTGCATGTCAAATCTTTGCAAGTTGCGGTTTGCCATGTTTTTATCTTTAGAGTCTCCCCCTTTTTTCCTTGACATGTCATTAGGGTGCACTATGGCCCGCTCGTTCAACGTTGACCCGAATCTTCCATGTGGGTGCTTGGTGATTTCCATGCAGGAAGGCCACACAGTGGTATGCATAGATTGATTACATAGACACACCATGACACACCCAGATGTTTTTTTCTGTATGTAATAATGTATCTTGCCATGTGTATATGTAATTTAAAATACCTCATGAATACATCTGTTTTTTTGACTTGTGTATATACTACTGTACGTGTCCACATCTCAAAAATCTCAGACATACCGCTCTGATTACTCCAACACGACAAACACCACCTCTAACCACTCTAGCCCACCAATCTCCGACCAGGGGTCGAAGAGCTGTACATCCACTCCGGAGACCTTTCAAACCGGCGCTTCTCCGGCAATGGCTCTAGGTTTTTCACAGTGGATGTTCGTCCCACCGGGTGCAACGGCCAGAGGGCACACCACAAACCAAAACGGGACATCTTCGATTTCAAAAACGATTAACGGTTCACCCACCTATTCACCAAAGTTCACCTATTCAATTCCTCAGCATCCAATTCCAAACGATCCAAATCATGAAGCCCCAGAATTGGTTGTGGTTTCTCCCAGTCGGATGAACATCCAGCACAAAAGTCGTCGAACGTGACGCCAACCCCGCGCTTTTTCAGCGCAGTCATTGACACCGCAACTCGACGTATTCTATAGGCACTTCTGCTCCTGTAGCATCGACTAGGTGGGTGTCATTGCTTCTACCAGAGCATACCAAGAGGGGGTTCAAGTTTTGAAAACCCAGGTCGATCGGTATTAGTTCTGGTGCTCTTTTTGAGTGATGCCAGGTGTGCATTGCAACTCTCTTCCGGAGAAATTTGTATGCTGAGATGAAAACTAGATCGTTGTGAAGCAGGAAATCTGGTCAACGAAACTAGTCCCATTGATCCATTCCTGTGAAGAAACATAATCTGTGCTTTTGCATCTGGTTTCGTGGTATTATCAGTGCTGCAAAAAAAACGCAAAGCTAACGTAGTAATCACTATCATGATAGATATTATAGTCTGATAGTGGTCATTAAAACAATTAAACAATCATCATGTTCGTCATCACCGTCATTGTAACCCTCATCACACCATCCGACAGCAAAACTCACAGCGCCTCCATCAGCTTGATCGCTTCCCGCAGAGGCATAACTTTGATCCTTCGGCACCAGAATTCCCGGAATTGGGCAAATCTAAAGGAACCCCCTATAATTGGTGGTTAAAACAACAGGTTTTCCTGCAAATGTTCCCTTCAACCAACCATATGTTTGGGGCAAACAGAACAAATGCAAGGGCACCCAGCTGTGTGTTTCAAATGTCCGAGCTGCTGTCGATTTGCAATTCGTTGTATTTCAGGTTGCTTTAGATGTAAAAGAACTTAGTACCAGCCGCCTAATCCTACAAAGTCAGGACAACACAAAATTCTGGCAACTTTCTGTAAACGGGGCCCTGCACGGGAGCATCCACAAACACCCTTTCAGGGAGATCTTGCACAGGACCCTAGAGAAAAGAACCTTACACTGGGGTCTTGCATGAGAACTTCTGCAGAGGTCCTTTCAAGAAGGGAGCGGGAGCAGGAGCTTCCATGAAAGGGTCGTAGGGGGAAAAAAGTTCCAGGTTACTTGAGCATATTGGGGGCTACAAATTCAACACAAGAACCTCTATTTCAGTGGTACAAGTACAGCAGCAAGTACCCAGCTCGATATCCTTTATCTCAAGATCTCTCAGCCCAAGATCTCCCATCCCAAGGTCTCCCATCTCAAGACCTCCTATTTCAAGGTTTCTCCTCTCAAGAACTCCAATCCCCAGATCTCTCATCTCAAGGCTTCCCATCCCAAGGTATCCCAAGATCCCTGGCAGGAAACGAGAGTTTCTACCTTTCCTACTCAGCTCCTTTTGGCCTTGCTTGCACCTTCTTTTCCCAACCCATCCCCACCAATATGCAGCCACAGTGTCTGGCTGGCTAAAAGCATCAGGACCTCCTGGCGTGCGCACCAGAATGCACCCATGGATTGCGGGTTCTCATAGGAGTATACATCAAAATTTAAAGCCCTGGAAACCAAAGGTTTGTTTGATTCCAATATAAAAACCGTCTATTTTGGTGTTTACACAATTTTGGCCTATTCACGTGTGGATACGGCTCAAGAGTGGCTTTCAAAAGAACAAAAAGTATCCCGTATCCCCATCAATCTCCCCAAGAAGGAGGCCAAATCAGATTCTGAGTCTAGCCATCCCCATCCCCCATCCCCCATCCCCAGCCCATCCCCAGCCCACGCCCATCCCTGGCGCCTTGTGACTTCCCAGGAGGTCTTCTTCCAGCGCGATCATCTCGGCCGTGCGCCCCTTGGAGGTGCGTTGCTCCCGGTCCGCCCCAGCTGCCAGCAGCAGCCGGACAATCTCGGCGTCCTGATCAATGGCTTACCGGCAATGGCTGACATAGCGAACTGGAAAGATCCACCATGCTATGAGTGGGTAAATCTATGGGCCATGATTATCTAAATAATTTATGGATAATCACCATAATTTATTGTGATATTAGTGGATGATATCAACATAAATTAACTATTTCGATTAGGGCCATGGCTTCAATAGCGAACTGTAAAATCTGTAACCAGAGGGTAATTTACATCGCAGCCAAGTAGCGCCAAGTTCAGCCGCCTTGTGAAGGGGATAAAGCACCTGCAAGGATATATATTGACAGAGCCCTGGAATCCTGGATGGATTAGTCGTCATTTGAGTTAGGATAGCAATACCCAATATGTAAGCCTGGTGGTAGTACGATTACACGTATATACATGTATATACTCCTTCACAAATGGCTGGCTTGAGTTCTTCACTTAATTCCCTTGCTCTTGCTGGCGTTGAGTGTAAGAGATAGCTGCGGTTTGTCCCTTAGGCTGTCATCGCTTCGAACCTCCTTTGGCTTCGAAAACAGGAAGCAACCCTTCCGGATCCGAGGTTCATTCACATCCTTGGTGCCACCCCGGGTCGCCCTTTTGGCGGAGTTCACATTGAGTCAAGGCTAAATATATGGAGACTCCGTTCAAAAATCAAAATATGTTCTTCTTTATTAGCAACATATTCTTAATCAGCGACATGCAGCTATCGCAGCCCCCCATCATCCTCCACTGGTCACGATTCGATGCTGAAAAAGAACACCTCTAAAGTACCACGCACCAAGCCCAATTGTGTGATGTTCATCAGTTGCAAAACTTGACAATGGCCTGTCCACGGGTATTTCGTTTTGTCTCAGTCATCATGAGCATCCACTGCAGCTGAAAGTCTTTCCCAAACTTGTGAGATTCCAAAAACCTGAGTCGCAAATGCCGGTGACCACAGGACCCCGAACATCCCCGAACTGCACATCCATGGGGACACTCTTCAGCATCAAGGGAAGGCATATCCCAGGTGAGCAAAAGTACGGTTGTCTTGGGTGGTATTGTCATACTAGCCAGGTTTGTTCAGTCCCAAAGGAAAAGATGTGTCTAGATCCAAAAATCCGATCATATCGATTGGTTACATTGGTTACTCTAGGGCCTTAGTAACCTACCAGATTGGGATTGTGGACCAATCTATCATGGGGGTACCGTTCTTAACCAGCCAACTCGGCCAAGGTCAAGAAACGTCTGCAGGATGTAGCGTTTCTCCTCGCGTTTCTCATTTCGCCACTGCATCTTCTCAAGACTGCGTTGTTTGCCAACCTGGAAGCCAGGAGGGGTGGAAGATCTGCCCAGTTTTTTGGCCCAAGTCACATGGACATGCTGGCAGGTCCCTTCTCTTCGCACATCCATCCCCCAGGCCTCTAACTCATCCAGGTTAAAGTCGCTGATGGTGTGGCCCTTCTCTTCCATGGTCACCCTGGATTTGCCTGGCGCCACAACATCTGAAACCATCCACAAAAATGGGAGGGGTCATAGAGGGGTCAATAGATTTGAGCCATTCATATATATATATAAACAAATACATTACTTCATGATTACTTATATAACATATCTATGTCTGTATATATATATTTATGCATCAGGTCGCGCACGGTTTGTTCCCACACAACCCGGCAAGTGATCTAGGTTGTGGTGCTGCTACGCATTCTGCGCAACAGGTGGCAACGCGCACCACTAAACACGCACCCGCAGGTGGCCACCCGTGTTAGGTGAAGTGCGGTCGCACCCACAACCAGGGTGGAGAGAGGGAGGGCCAGCTTGAACCCAAAACCCCACGGATGCATAAAACATCGTCCTACTGAATGTTCCATGTCAGTAGAGACTGCTTTCATTATGCATCAGGTCGCGCACGGTTTGTTCCCACACAACCCGGCAAGTGATCTAGGTTGTGGTGCTGCTACGCATTCTGCGCAACAGGTGGCAACGCGCACCACTAAACACGCACCCGCAGGTGGCCACCCGTGTTAGGTGAAGTGCGGTCGCACCCACAACCAGCCCACGATAGGCAAAAGAAAAGGAACAAAAAAGAGAGGGGGTCACAACCGCCCCACTTTTGCTCTCTTTGCGCAGCGACCCGTCACAAAAAGGAACGGAAATGCCGTAACAGCTTCACGGACGCATCCGGAAGATCAAAATTAACCAGCATGGCTCTGGCGTCATCGAGATATAAACGACAAGTCCGCTGGTCTTTCCAACGACCTTGCACCATGATGAAGTCTAGAGACTTCAAGGTCATATAAAAATGAGTTGCACCCCCCCTTCTCAGGGAATATGGTACGAATCCCACTGAGGAAAGGAAGAAAAAAGTCACAAAGTGAAGTGAAACAACGTCGAAAATAAGTGGGGGACCATGGCCACAGCCAGGGGCCAGAGAGGCCTTGAAGTGCAAAGGTGACCAGGTTGGCAACTTTGGAATGTTCCAGTGCCAATGCCTGGAGATGCTGCTTGGAGGTTTTGGTGCGGCCCAGACGAAGGACGATGGAGCCTGTGGCATGGCAGATTTCAACATCCTCGGCTTTAAGGCTCAGAACCTCCTGGGTCCGCAAAAAGAAGCCAAATCCAAGCAGCAGGCAGAGACCAAGGTGCCACCACTGTTCCTTGAAGCAAAGGCCGACGAAGGCCTGAAGAACCTTCCATGGCATTGGTACTGCGCGAACAGGTGTGTGCTAGAATCTGCGCAACCCACTCAAGAGCCACCCTGCCTTGCTTATAGGTTCACCCTCCTGGAAAAGGTGGTTGATGTACTCTGCCACTGAGTGATCTAGCGCAGCATAGGAAGCCGGCATGGGTTGATGGATGAATTCTAGAAAAGTAAAAAAGTGTGAAACTTCACGCCTGTAAAGTTGAATTGTACGCTGCCTCACTCCCATGTACTTGAGATGCCGCTTCTTTGTCATCGTGATACCTCAAACTTGCGGCTCCCGTAGTCCGCAAAGTTCCATTTGCTGATCGTCCAAACATGGAAAGGGGTGAGGTCAGCGACAAGCGATACCGCCGCAACACGGCGCACCAGGCGGTTGAGCTTTGCTGAAGAGCTTCGACCTTCGGTCAGGCAGTGAAAAGTCACCTGGGAGTCGGTGACATTGATGAAACGTCCCCCCACCATCGAGGGGTCTCGAGCTCTCCTTCTGATCTCAACCAAAAAGGCCGAGACTTCAAGCGTGTTGATATGCTGCGGTTGACGCCACCGGTAAGCGACCAGGGTGCGCCACAGCCATGCAAAAGACGGATAGGGAGCCATCAATGTCTGCTCCCCATCCTCAGGTGACACTAAAATCTTGATGTCGCACCCGCGGGTGGAAACTTGCCTTAAAAGAGAGGCCAAATGCTGCGCCTCATTGCCCGGGCACATGTCTTTCAGCATGTCGTTGACAGCTGTGGCCACGCGCATGGCCACAACCACCCTTTGTAGGCCTTTTGTGGCTCTCTTGACCGCTGAATATACGGCCATGAGATGATCCCTGTCGATCGAGCCCACGGGCTGAGAGGTTCTCCTGCCGATTGCGTTCCTCAACGCAGCAGCATAAGTGGTGCAGAAGTCCCACGGGTACTCTGCTTCTTCCTCCGTGTCGAACTTCAGGCCATGTGGCGTTTCATGAACTTCATAAGGCCTCAGCCACCAGTGGCCCGGGCACTCCGGACGGTGGACTGACCTGAAGATACCTTCATCGTTTGTGATGAGGCAGGTCCACTTGGTACGCCAGCCCCCAAAAGCAGCAGCTCGAGTAGCAGGCGGTGCAGACCCGATCATCACGACCCGATCATCACCAAACAGCTCCTCCGCTTCAGGCGTCCACCACAGCAGGGAGTTCCAAGGGTGCTCCAACGAGACAATGCGCCCCGCCTCGAGCGCCTCCTTGAAACCTTGCAAGCCGTCCTTGGAAAGGTTCGGTAGACCCCAGGGCCGTTCCCTTGACCTGAGAGCTTTGGGGCCCGGAATGGTTCTTCCGCTCGGCAACGTGATGGGCCTGCCGCGCGCTGCCGTGAAAGATTTGCATTCGGGCGCCCAATGTGTGGCGGCCAAGCTGCAATCATTCTCCATGAGGTCCAACTTCCGCTTGCCAGATTCACTGAAATAATCCCAAGCATAGGAGGCAATCTTTATGTCAAGTGGAGGTTGTATGGCAATCCCTTCCAGGGCCACCGCCTGTGTAAGCGGAAAGTTCTGCCCAGCAAAGCGCTCACCAAACGTGGGGGCATCCAGTTCTTTCCGTGTGCAATTTCCTTCTGCGTGGGTGAACGCACACATGGGCGAACAGGCCCGCAGGCCGCATTTTCTGCTGCATGGGTAGGTGACTTGGCCTGGTTCATGGGGCTCCTCACACCAGGCGCACCTACCATCATCCTCTTGAGCGTCAGGTACCTGGAGGTATGAGATCTTGAACTTCTTGGCCACCGCTGTGGCGCCCCCAGTAGGTGACGCATCAGTACAGCTGATTTCTTCACTCACGGGCGCACGTAGGTTTGCCTGAGCAATCACACTCAGGACGCCTACGCAGACAATCTCATCCAGGCAATCCCGTGTTGGGAGAACATCGCCGCAGCGAGATTGCTCAATCAGGGGGAAAATCTGGAACATGTTCGAAAACAACATCCGGCGAAAGGCTGCAATGAACGCCGCCTTTCCTGCCCAGTGCCGCAGGTGGAACTCCGACCACTTCTTGCCGGCCAGCAGCGCAAAGCTGATCTTCAAAAAATTTTGCAGCTTGTCAGGCGCCGCTCTCAATACACCTTTCTTGCCGTCCAAAAGGCCTCCTTGAAGCCCACCTGCATATGCGTGGATGAGTTGCTTCCCTGCATTCCTCGGAAGCCCATCCTGATCGCACACCTCCACAAACCTCTTGTGGTATTCAGACATCTCGCACCCTTCCTTTGTGAAGTCCTCTGACAACTTCTTGACCACGTGGATCTCATCGAAATTGTCGAGATAGACAATGGCCTTTGTGTCCGACTGGGGCAAGGGCTTTCCTTTTTCAATCGACAGTGACTTCGGAACTTGTGCCCGTTCGAAGACCAGGGTTCGGACGGCTTCCTGGACCAAACCAACCGCCGAATGCCACCCCATGGGTATCACCGCCAACGCTGGCCTCACCATGGTGCCACTGGCCAATCCAAAAGCTGGGCCATCTACCTTTTTTGAGTCTGCAAAGTACGGCAACCACTGGTCAGGGGCTGCAAACAAGTTGAAGGCCGATTGAAGGTCTTCACTTTCCATGTACGCCATGTCTTCTTCCTCAAGTTGAATGGAGGTCATGGTGCCAATGAAGGGGAGCGTGTCCTGAGCTCCCTTCAACGGTATCGTCACCGCATTCTCACCCGCTGGCCGTCCACCAACTTCTCTTTCCTGACGGCCCCAGCCCCACTAGTGATAAGATGACCCATGCGATCCCGCGGGATGAGGTCATCAGCAACCACCTTCATCATGCCGCGTTCGTGGCCCATGCGGCAGATCTTGAACCACTCGTCATCGGTGGCTCTCACTAGGTGGCAACACCAACTTGTCCGGGTACTTGAAGGCATCAGCCGTCTCTGCACTCAAGTACCTCTCAATTGGTTGTACCCCTGCTTCACTTGGCCTCGGCCAGGCAGGGGCCACCTTTTCCGCAACCAAATCCTCCATGTATTCAATGGGGGCCCCTGCATAGTCGTAACGCTTGGATGCTAAGAGCTCACGAGCCTCACCCAACGAGCCCACCGGATCAGCAGAGATGATGTTTGTGGTCACCATCTCTGCCAGGGATTTGATGGCTGCCTTTTGATTGGGGGTGAGTACCGGGTCCATCGGCACCCCGATCGGTTTACCCCAGCCTGCGCAATAATTGAAAAATCCAAAATAACTACAACCACTCCGACCCACAGGCAGTTTGCTTTGGTCACGCCTTCCAATTCAGGTGTGATCAACCAAGGAGCGATTGGCAAAATATCCCCACGCCTCTGGTGAGTGGGCAATGCGCCCGGAGTGGGTTGTGTGGGGTAACACCATTGCCTGAAGAAGCAACCCAGAGGTGTGGGTGCATGGCACATGAAGTCCAGTAGATGCTTGGCCATGTCTCCGAAGGTCATGCCTGCCTTAAAGGCCTTGACCGCTACGTCCGACAGCTCTCCCAGAGTTTTACAAGCCCGCAGGCTGGATTCTGCTGTCAGGTCCATTGGGGCCGCTGCGTCCCACGGGGAAGGGACCATTGCCGCCTCGTCTTCAGAGTCGGTCATGGCCGGCTCCAGCTCATCATCACCGAGTTCATCAAAATCAGAAGACTCATCAAGCGAGTCCTTGGTTTTCACTTCGAGGTCTGCTCCGCCTCGGCGGGTGTCGTGCCCCACGTGCCTTTGCTGTTCATTTCTGGCCCTTCTTGCCTTTGCCCTTGTCCTCGCGAGGGCGACCTTTTCCTTCTACTTCTTTCCCTACTCCTTTGCCTTTCCAGTTGCGGAGCTTGCTCTCGAAGACGTGCTCCCTTGTTGCGACCCAGCTCTCGTCGGGCTCGATGAGGGTGGCGCCCTCGGCTGGGAGGAGTTCGACATGAGTCGCTCGAGCCCAGCTCTGATCGTTGACCATGAGCTCTAACGCTTTCAGCCTTTGCGCTAGCACGTCCGCTGCCATCTCGGGATGGCCCATTGCTATAAGATCCAGACCCTTCGCAACCGTCCTCATCTCGCGCTGCACGCGGATATTCAGCCTCTCCCGGTGTAGGGGAACCAGCACCGTCAGGAAGTAACTCGTCGCCGTCGACGGCGTCAGGTTCTCCTGCCCGCTTCCATGTTGAGTCATGGCCCCCTCCCCCTCGCGGGCTAGTAGCACCTTCATCTTGGTCAGTAGCCTGCTGGCTAACCTCCCTGGGTGCTTTTCTGCGTATTCCAGCAGCTGCAGCTGCCGTGATTTCCCGGAGGGGGCCGCTTGAAAAGACTGCCCATCATCGCCTTCCTCATCTGAGCTGATGGACGTTGCCTCGCTGTGGCCAAAGGCCATTTTTGCCCCTGTTCCAAAGGGGCCTCTGTCTCCCTTCTTTTTGTCTGCCTTCTTGCCCTTTTTCTTCTGCTTGCTGCTCTTGGATTTCTCCTTCTTGGCCTCCTGGCAGTGGCTCGAAGAAGAAGAGGAGCTAGCAGATGACACTGAGCTGTCGCGCTGCTCAGCCTGCTTTTCCTTGCCGAACCACAAGGGTCCCTTCTCCGCCTCAGTGGGGCTCCTCCGCCTCTTTCTAACGGGCCCTTCTTTTTCCCGGCCCCTCTTTTTTCGTTTCTTGTCGCGCTTGTCCTTTCCGACATCGCGCCTGAGGTTTTTCAACTCTTCAACATCCTCACCCTCGGGTGGAACCACCGCCAATGCCTCGGCATCTTGTCCTGCATCGGACTCAGAGAATGCCAGTGGCTGTCCTGACTTTCTCGCCGGCCCTCTTTCAGAAGGCGCCTTCTGCCCCGCGAGGCGTGAAATCTCTGCAGCAATGTCCGCTTTGGCTGGCTCGTCCTTGAACCAAGGGACCTTTTTCTCTGTTATCATACCCGCGGCCAGCAGCCGGAAATAGTCCGTGTGAAACTCCAAGCTTGGAGACTTCATGCGTTTTTTGCATGTTGGGGCTTCGGTGCAACAAATGTGCAAGTGGAACTGACGCTGCTGTGCTGCACCTGGTCCTTCTGTTATCCACCACTTAAGGTGCTCATCGCTCACAGCGACCAGACGGGCTCTCATCCAAATCCCGTCCTTCTTCTTGTCCACTTGTTGGCGGATATTCCAGAGCCCCTGTCCTTGCTGGGCCCCGTTTTCATCATACAGATGGCACTCCAAGAGCTGGCCCCTCTGAAGGTCCAGCTCCTGACTGTACCCCAGGTTTTCACGGGGAAAAACCCACGGCCCAGCCATTCTCTCCCTCAGGAGGTCTCCCACCTCAGGCAGCCCCGCAAGGCGTGAGGTGAGCCTTTCACCAGCTTGAACCCAAAACCCCACGGATGCATAAAACATCGTCCTACTGAATGTTCCATGTCAGTAGAGACTGCTTTCAATATATATATATATACAGTAATAATAATAAAACATATACGGTCATATACGTATTATGTTAAAACCTAAGAGGAACTGGGAATATAGACACATACAAACATATATTATATATATACACGTATATTAGGCATCAACAGTCCCAAATCCTTCACCTCCAGAGATGACGCCTGAAAAGCTCCAGGGGCCAAGTGGATCAATCGCTGCGATCCGGCTTGGGCCAAGACAATGCTTTCGGAGTGGGATCGCTTGGTATCCTTGGGATCGCTTGGGGCTACATCTTTGGGTTCCAAAATGCTCTGACAGCTCGTAGTGAAGCTTGGTAGGGCCCCTGAGGTTACAAATTATTTCTAAAGATCCGGATTGAAATCCATAAGGCCTGGTCTCCAGGCCACAACAAACGTGTGTGTCAGGACGATCAAGCTCCATCCACATGCCAAAATCACCACAAGTCGGGACCCAGGCCGATGTGTCGAAGGGAGCCTGGAACTGCTTGGGGCACCAAACTCGGGGGTAAAAATTGAGGAAAGGTTCCATGATCGATCATGATCAATCACAAAATGGATTTACAATGATTTACATATCTTTCAAAAACACCAGCAAATACAATAGAAATTGCGAATTCGGCCCCACTTCAAGATAGATGCCTGCGCTGGACGAAAATTCAACCCAACAATGTGATATCCTGGATATCTATTCCACGTTCTTGCTGATGAAATCACCCGGTATTGTCAATAATGTCGGATACTGTTGCTATGTTTCTTTGTATTGCTGAGGATCCAAATATGTCGTCACCAAATTTAGAAAACAAAAAAAAATATAAAATAATTTTGAAAAAAAAACACGACGACGACAACGACGACAAGGACAAGGACAAGGACAAGGGCAAGGGCAAGGACAACAACAACAACAACAACAAGAAGAAGTCAACAAGAAGTCAACAAGAAGTCAACAAGAAGTCAACAAGAAGTCAACAAGAAGTCAACAAGAAGTCAACAAGATCCTCGTCAAGTCTAAAATCTGCAAAAAAAAACTAATCTGGGTCAATTCTGGGTCAACTGGATACTTCATGTTTCATTCTTTCTCAGCCACACCCACAGCTTGTAAGTTGTGGTTTATGGCATCCCCATTCTTCCCACTGTGCCTGACGGTTTAGATCAAACCTGAGCGGCCAGCTGCTGTGCTGTTCAACATCCAAAGATGGCTCAGGAAACAAATGGGAACTGTGGTTACCCTCGTTCAAAAACGACTCCCTATACCCTCCAACCACCTGAATCCAGCTCTGCAATCTGTTTCGCGTCGCAGAAGGGCGTACTTGGCCCATCACCATGTTCGAGCGAAACGCAACAAAGGTAACAAAGGTTCATCACGACTAAGAGTTCCAATAAATTCATTGCAAACCTGTGGCTGCCTGTGGCTGAAGCTCTGTAACCTTTGAAGCGATATGCGCAAGATCAAAATCAGACGACTGTTCACAGTCGTCATCTATGTCCACAATCCTAAGTGCTGACTATGGAAGCGAGACACAAAGAACATTTGTTTTCTCGAGTTATGGACTATGGACGACTATGAGCTATTCTTTTCGGACTGTGTGTGGACTACAGTATACATGGGATATTATTTCTCATTGCAGTCAGCTCTTAGAAAAGGAGTTTGCAGAGAATGATGCGCACTCTCCAAGTGCTCAATCCACAAGATTGTCAGCCCAGAGAGGCCCAAGAATTTCCGAAAACCCTCACGTGCGCCACTGGTGGCAGACCCGTTCTCTCAGAGGCTCTGGGGTTGGTTGAGGCTGGGGTTGTGCTGAAGCTCGCCACCGTTGAGAAAGTGTCATCCACATGAACTTGGCAGATCTTTGGGTCAGATCACAAGCTGCCACTGAACTCACTGCCTGGAATGATCTCGAATGGACTGGATGAGACTTACATCACCTGACCCGGAAAAGTGCTGTCCCAACGTGGACTTTTGCACGCTAAGGATTTCACAGAAAACGCCCTAGTGTTGCGGTATTCGCGGCACAGAAACAGCCCCGGTCAGCCCTGAGATCAAAATCCTGGGTAGCCAAAGGTGGAGGCCCAGGCTTCCACCTCCTTCTTCAAGGCCTCAATCAGGTTTTCACGACAGCTTCTGGTGGTCATCCCAAAAAAACTATGGAAAATTGACAGAATCATTAGAGCTTGTTGACCCATATTTTGAGTCATAGGTGAAATGGATATAATCTAGTGGAAATCCTCAATGAAATCTGATATGTGCAATCATCAGCCATAATATATCAATATAATTTTATATAATATAGTATCACCTGAGAAGGGGGGACGAAAGCCAGCCCCGAGCCCCCAAACGTCCTCTTACAATCCCGTATGAACTAGATTAGAAGCCCAAACCATCTGCAGCACCTTTGGAAGACTTCTCCTTGCTTTGCAACCCTTCGCCCTCAGTATCACCTCTCATCCCCTTGCAAACTATCTTGTTCCGAACCCCAACGGATGCTGCTCTCCGTTGAGCTTCGGAGTTTGACCTCCCCTGACCCGTGACCCAGGATTTGGCCCAAAACGGCCTTTTCCCAATGATCCCAGAAGAGAAATTCAATAGGCGGCAGAGGGGCCGCCAACTGGCAGAAATTTGCTCCCGTGACCTCCTGTGACCTCCCGGCTAGGATTTGGCTCAAAACGGCCGTTTCCCAATGATCCCAGAAGAGAAATTCAATAGGCGGCCGAGGGGCCGCCAAATGGCAGAAATTTGCTCCCGTGACCTCCTGTGACCTCCCGGCTAGGATTTGGCTCAAAACGGCCGTTTCCCAATGATCCCAGAAGAGAAATTCAATAGCCGACCGAAGGGCCGCTAAATGGCAGAAAGTTGCTCCCATGCTTCCCCGTAACCTCTCGTAGCCAACTGTCACCTCCCTCCCATACAGAGACAGACACAGACACAGACAGACATACACACAGCACTCTACACTTTACACTCTACACTCTTCACTCTACACTACATACTTTACACGTTACACTTTACACTCTACACTTTACACTCGACACTCCACACTTTACACTCCACACTCTGCACTTTACACTCTACACTTGACACTTTACACTCCACACTCCACACTCTACACTTTACACACTACACTTTACACTCTACACTTTACACTCCACACTCCACACTCTACACTTTACACACTACACTTTACACTCGACGCTCTTCACTCTACACTCCATACTTTACACTTTACACTTTACACTTTACACTCCACACTCTACACTTTACACTCTACACTTTACACTCTACACGTTACACTCCTCACTCCTCACTGCGCACTTTACACTCCACACTCCACACTTCACACTCCACACTCTACACTTTACACTCTACACTCTACACTTTACACTTTACACTCCACACTCCACACTCTAGACTTTACACACTACACTTTCCACTCTACACTTTACACTCCACACTCCACACTTTACACTTTACACACTACTGTACACTTTACACTCGACGCTCTTCACTCTACACTCCATACTTTACACTTTACACTCCACACTCTACACTTTACACTCTACACTTTACACTCTACACTTTACACTCCTCACTCCTCACTGCACACTTTACACTCTTTACACTCTTTACACCCTACCCTCTACACAGAAGCCCAAACCATCTGCAGTTGCAATCGTTCCTCAGTATCACTTCTCATCCCCTTGCAAACTCTCTTGTTCCGAACCCCAACGAACGCGGCACTCCGTTGAGCTTCGGAGTTCCTCCATTTTCCTCCGTTTTCCACCTGCTTTGGACGAATCGTCATATACAAAATGGCGCAAGATTGCATAGTACTCCACACCTTATACGCCACACTCCACACTCCATACCCCATACTCAACACCCAATACTGCGCTTCAAAGTTCCGCTATTTCCCTCCATTTTTCCCCTGTTGTTCAGTTTCTTTCACCGCATTGCTCACTGCACAGTTTACACTCCATACTGTACACTTCACGCTAGCCGCTAGACACCACATTTTACACTTGACACTGTACACTCCTCACTCCATGCTGGGTGACAGATTGTATGTCACTCCACTCCACACAGTACACTCCACGTGTTTCAAACGCTATTGCCCTCCATTTTCCCCCTGCTGTTAACGATTTTCCTTCAGTTTCTTTCACCGCACTCCTCACTGCACACTTTACACTCTTTACACTCTTTACACTCTACCCTCTACACAGAAGCCCAAACCATCTGCAGTTGCAATCGTTCCTCAGTATCACTTCTCATCCCCTTGCAAACTCTCTTGTTCCGAACCCCAACGAACGCGGCACTCCGTTGAGCTTCGGAATTCCTCCATTTTCCTCCGTTTTCCACCTGCTTTGGACGATTTGCCTTCATTTTCTGTTGTTCTTGTCCTACCTTTTTCCTAGCATCCTCCATTTTCCCCCTGTTTTCAACGATTTTCCTTCGTTTTTTTCCTACCTTTTTCCTGTCATTCCTCCATTTACCTTCCTTTACTGTCGTTTTTTTCCTACTTTTTTCCTGGCATTCCTCCATGTTCGTCCATTTTCCTCCATTTTCCCCCTGGTTTCAATGATTTTCTTTCGTTTTTTTCCTACCTTTTTCCTGTCATTCCTCCATTTTCCTCCATTTCCCACCCGTTTTCAACGATTTTCCTTCATTTTCTGTCGTTGTTTTCTTACCTTTTTCCTGGCATTCCTCCATTTTCCCCCCCTGTTTTCAACGATTTTCCTTCGTTTTTTTCCTACCTTTTTCCTGTGCGATTTTCCTTCATTTTCCTTGGTTTGTCAACGGACCTAGGGGCAATCGAAGCCTACCGTCACCTCTTTGCGTAGTGGTACATGCCCCCCAAAAAAGTTCAATCTGCCCACCCTCCACTGCAACTAATTTCGAGATTTTGGCGCCATACGCCACGACCACCCCCCAAACTCCCTAATACTCACTTCGTTCGCCAAAACAACTTTGCCTAGCCTATCGGCTGGCTTTCGTAATAATGTATAATATAGCTATATAAGTTGTATAGTGAAATGTAGGTTCAACCCCTCCAAGTCTGGGAAAAATCGCTCCCCACCTCGATGTCCGCATTGCCTGGCAGGGCGGCCTCGAAGTCCTTGAGCTTCTTACCCTTCTCCTCCTGGACCTCAAGTGCGAGTGGCCGGGGAGGATCATCGATGTTCATCTGCAGATTATCCCTGATGTATATTCTTTACTTCTACTTTGTAGGTAAACTCTGATATATATTGATATATTTCATCTCGGGAATTCACACGTATTCGTGGTGATTCGAAAAGGGTCAGGTACCCCCGCCCCAGATTACCTTTGAAAAGATCAGCTGATCAAACGTCTGTTGCCATGTTGGATAGAGCGATGATGGTCACTGATTTGAGCTCAAACAGGTGAGTCGCTATCGGTCATTGGATGTTTTCCAACTGGAGCTGACTGGGGAACACAACTGTTTGGGCATGAGTCAATGCCAAATGACTACCAAACTCAAAACTTGGGGGCTTACTTTCAAGAATTCACAGCCCATTTTTTCATAAATCTTCAAGTACTTCAACTTTTCTCAGCTTCACCACTGGCAGGATCCCTTCCCAGGCAGGATCCCATAGGATGATCCCACGCCTTCAGCGCGATCTTGCAGCATCGGTCCAGGAAGTCCGCAATCTTCTGGAAGTCTGCGGTGGTGCAGCCGCGGGTCGTCATGGCCTCGGGATCTCAGCTCGGGCCGTCATGGCCTGTTGGAAACCTCGACATATTTTAAGCGTAGGCCCTTAATAAAGAGATGGGATAGAAAAGTGAGAAACCTGGAAATATGTGGTAAATATGTGGTAAATATATCAACTCTATGTTTTTCAGATTGTGCTCGATATGTTGTGGTCATTGTGCCAATGATCCTGGAATTTTTGTGCAAATAGAATGAAATACCACTAGATCATCCATGATAATCCTGGAAACAGAATTCTACCCTTTGGGGGTTACTTTTTGGTGCCTAGGCTGCCTAGGCCTAAACGATTGTCCAAGCCGAGTTGCCACGTTCGGCGCTGGGTCCCCAGACAGGAGCGCCCACTCGAACACCTCCAGGGCTCAGGGCAGACACGTCGCCGTGCACAGCCTTGGCTTACAGGGAAAACTGGATTAACCCCCTTTACATTACGGTGATAGAGGACATGTACCCCCCCCATTTTTCATAGAGGAAATGTCAAGGGGGTTATGAAGATGATATACCATCAAGAGATGTAAGAGATGTGAGCTGTGAATTTCAACCATTATCTTCATCCACAGCTGATTGAAGAATCAGGACTGAAGGCTCGCCTAAAACAGCCTGACGTGGCTGATCATCACAATCAGGGAATCCAGGAGTGAATCTCAACCCGACTCCAGTTGATGATACCATAAAATCCATGTCAAGTTGTTCCACCATCTCTGGGCTTTCGGGCATTTCGGTTCAGGGTGATGGAGCAATGCTCGCACACCTGGCCCACATTTGACTGCTTACTGGTCAAAGGTGAAGGAAAGATGCTGCAGAATTCAGTTGCTACTTTCTGCAATGGAGATCCCAAAATCATTCGAATCACTAAAATTCCTTACATCCTACATCTGGCCTTGGAACATCTTTTTCCACTGCATCCCAAAGTGCTGCGGCACATTTTCCCAGCCTTCTCAATCTTTCCACCGGTGAGCCCATGGGGGCGCAAGTCCTGGCAGACAGGGACAAACTGGGATGAGCCTTCTGAACGGTTGGTAAGTCCCATCCAAAAAAAACTGTCTACTGAGTCTATAGTGACATCTACTGACTGTAAAAGAGTGGCTACCCAACATCCAGCCGCCATACTGACACTAAGAACAGTCCCACAGCACAAGGTGGTTGTCCGTGCCGTCGCTGGCCAGCTTGTGGCCTCGAGACATCAAGGACCTTCGAATTGTGAACCAGCCATGGAAATCCACACGATTGTGAAAACCACCATCCCTGGAATATTTGATTTAGAACGCGAGCAAGGGCAGCAAGGGCCAACCGGATGAAAGCATCGGTTTTCTGGGACATGAAGCTATAGGATGATAGAAGTGAATCACCTTGCAAATGAAACCTTCAACTTACAAGTCAACCGATCTGATATCTTAAATGTTCTAGTCTCACAACACGGTGCACGCTTTATGGTCATCCATCCCATTCCATGGGAATCCAAGCGTCATGGCTCCCCACAAATCTCTGTGATCAAATGGATTGATGAGTCATAAATCCCATAAATCCCTATAACTCCCAAAGCACAACTCTCAAAGTCATCAGATTTCCCCACAAATTCAGCAAAAATATGCAGAAATAAAGCCCCATGATTAACTGGATTGATGAGTCCACTACTATAAATACCTATGAATCCCTATGAATCCCTATATAAATCCCTATAAATCGTCATAAATCCCTATGAATCCCTATACCATCTGGTATTTAACATAGCCATGGAAAATCACCATTTTTAATAGGTAAACCATCTATAAATGGGCCATTTTCCATGGCTATGTTAAATAACCAGAGGGTAAATCCCTATAGCCCTATAACTATTCCCATCCCCCATCCCCCATGGCTTCATCCAACGGCCACCACGGCTGAGCTCCTGGGCCTTTCGCCTTCAAGGCCTCGGCCAAGGCCGAAGCGTTGGCCTTGACCTGCTTGGAGTATTCCTGGCGACTGGATCTGGAGCTAAGAAACATATAAAACATATGAAACATATAGATCTAATATAGAAATACATCGAGATATGTAGAACTATATAGAACTATACTCTATATATATATATATGTATATATATATATCTTCCGGGCCCGGGCGGCTTTGAGGCGTCGCAGTGAGTTGGCTGATGCATAGGTTGTTTCTTTATATTTTGGACGTTTTTCCTGTGGATTCTCCCGAGGAGGTCTGCTCACGTCTGCGCCCTCTGCGCTTTTGCATGTTGAGTGTCGGACCAGCGTGGGTGTCGTTGTTTTCCTTTCTTGTGCCATCTCTGCCCACAGCTGCTTTTGTCCGCCTCTGCTGCTAGCTGGCTGTTGTGCAGTTTCTTTTTCTGCGGCCTATGTGCAGTTGTTTTGCTTCTGATGTTGGCCTTTAGCCATCAGTGTGGGGCCGCTCATTTAGACGCTTTACTTATATATATATATATACACATGTGTGTATGTGTTCGTTCTAGAAATATCAGTAGATATACATCTATGAAATGGATGGCAAGGTGTCTAATTAAAACAAGCTGGGCATGATGCATTTCATACCACTGACCGCCTTGAACTCAGGGGTGGCCACTTCCAACAGCTGAGCAGCCAAACCGCCGATCCTGGGCTGGAGAAAGTGCCATGGATGCAACGAGCGATTTGACACGGAAGAACTAAGAAATGATGAGGGAATTATGTGTATTGTGTATAATATATATATATATATATATCATGATATGTATGAACCAACAAGATGGGGGTTTGAATACAATGACAAGTAAGGAAATGATATGAACAATTCTGAGATAAACCAACAAATCATGGGGATATACATGGATATACCCTCCAGCAATCTACATCAACCAACGGAAACTCCAAGTCTTCAGTAGGAACATCATGAATCTATGGAAGTTGTTCCATGCCAGCTGAGACGACCCCAGGGTAATTTTTGGACCCTAGAAAACCCATGGAAAAATAGATGGATAACAACCCATGAAACCAAGACAAGCCTAGATCTGGTTGCATGTTCACAATTGTGTGGACGATCTCGTCTCCAAGTTTACCCCAGCGCCATGTGAAGGATAGCAGGCTGCTCACGCTACGGGGGATTAACCCCAAGTTCAACTTGAATTGGGAAAATTGAAAAGGGATGATCAACCATGATCAACCATCACATTTCGGGGGTATCCCATTTTCAACCAACCCCAATGTCCATGGCCCAATGGCATGGTGTGCCATCCATTCCACCGAGCATCTGGTGGTTGTGAGGACCTCCCTGGAGAGCAGGGAACACCGCCATGTCGATGCGCTCCTTGCACCGGGGCCACGGAACTACCAAGGCCACTCCAAAAGCGAATGGATCACCCCCCAATTCCACATATGTATAATATGTGTTTGATATATCTATCAACATACCAAATATGTACCATCATTTTTCCCATTCAAAGTACCAAACATTCGTGGCTTAGCCACGGTGAACCCCAACATTTTTTGACCCATCCCGGGATAGGTTTCAGACCTCATTGCCTCCTGACGTCATGCCACAACCAACGAGGCAGCCTTGATGTCCGGCAGCTTCTCAGTGTACTTGAAGAAGATCATGCCGGCACGAGGTCCTGGCCCGCGCCAACTGTTGGCTGATGATTTTTGGAGATTGAATCAGCCCCAGAACTGCCTGTTTCATATGCCCACGACTATATATATATATGTATGTATATATATATATTATATTGCACATGATAAAAATGTTGGTGGGAAAAGATACTGTGTATCAATTTAAAAAAAAAATGGGTTTTAACACTGCAAACACTGGAAATAAGTCACTGTTTCAGTCCCCAGGCGCCTCGCAGGGACTTGTGGGTGGTGGTGGTCACAACCTCAACAACAGGGATGTTGAATCTTGAATATGCAAATAGCATATCCAAAATTGAATATACCATATAAATATATATAAATGATCATAGCCCAACAATTGATATTGATGTTTCATATCTGAACCATATAATTTTTCAAAATCCGGAAGCCAGTATAGGTAGTTTGAAACATCAATGAACTTGTACTGATGTTTCACATCTGGTTGTATAGGTAGTATAGTTCCTTATCTCATAATCAACCAAGCCACATCGCAGAACGGGAAGGGCGAAGGGTGTTCACCAGTGGCCACCAGGCCGGAGATGTGGGCAATGTCGGCCATCAAATAGGCACCCACCTGGCAGAGATTTTTTTCTAAACCACCCATGACTGGGAATGGTTTACACAACCTATGTATGGTGATTTTGGGATGGTTTATTATTGTTTTTAACCACATTATATCATGATGATTATACCCTTATAGCAAGTGAATGGGAATTTAATGATAATGACTTTTGGATTTTATGGGGATATACTGATTGTAATAGGGATTTCATGGGGGAGTGAACTGATTGAACCAACAAAAATGGATGCGTAATTGTGTGATCCCATTTGTAGAATATAATTGAATAAAATTAGGCAACTACAATCTGACATCGTATCATATAATAGGGATTTAATGGAGGATTGAACCAACAACAGTGGGGGCAGAATGGAAATGGAGTGGGACCAAGATGGGATGTATAGCAAACAATATATCTGGGTGTGTCTGAAAATGTAAGATGGGCGAGGCACCAAATAAACAACTACCAAACCAGTCGGCCTTTACAAATGGCTTAGTACAGCTTCAAGCTCATAGTCTCCAGTAACAGCAATGTAAGCTGAAATTTGTTGAGCCCATCCAAAACGATGCAGGAATTGCGAACAAAACCAACCTAAACGCAACATTCCTTTACCCAACTTGCATATCGAAAATCCACCAAACACCATGGTACTATCCAGTCATCGGAAGTTGGTGATCAAAAATACAACTTATTTTGACGTCAGAGTTCGCTTGCGTTTTAGGGTCGAGGCACGACTTTTACGTTGACCGTTTCCCAAGCTAATTCTGGTGATTCCCAAAAACGAGGCACGACTTTATCAGTTGTCTGTATATATATATATTATATATATATAATATATATATAATATATGTATAATATATATGTATAATATTATATATATATATATGGGTGGTAACATTGGTAACTATCATCCCCAAAAAATGCTAGGTTTACTGCCATGGCTTTACCACATGACTGCCATGGAGAAATGCCCCGACCTCATCTGCGATCTCACGGAACTTGGCAAAATCCACCACCTGAGTGGTCGCTTGGAACCGCTGCTGTTGATGATGGAGAAGAACCGTGCGATTCCTGTTCTGCAATCTTCATCATATTGGTTTCGACGATTCTACAACATAGCATATCAGCTTCCGAATGCTTGTTGCTAGATCAACATTCCCTTTTTTGTAATTCATTCTTACCATTCCATTAGTTTTCTTCATTTTCGACCTCGAAATTTGGTGTCGGATCCTTGGAGTTGGGGCCAACCCATTGCTTGGACCGTCCAACCAGGCGGCTCGTGGGTAGGCAGAAGCACCGCACAGGATCATGGCTGGGCGGAAGACCAGGGCCTGTGGAGCACCACAAAACGTTGAAATAACCGATGGAAAGCGGAAGAAAACACATAATTCGGGAAACAAAAAAAAACAATCATCTGGCGGTGGAGAGGGGCTATAACTATATATATATATGTATATATACATATATACACACGTGTATATATATATATATACATGTTTCAATATGTATACACATGTATACACATTATCCAGGACCATCCACCACTCTCACCGTCTTGCGCAGCTCATCGAAGTCGATCAAGCCCGTCTCCGGATGGACGCGGTAGGGCAGAGACTCGAAGTAGATGGATCTGCGCGGATGGGGATGGGAGCTAAGCCTTTCGGCACCACAGATGGCTTAGATTTTTAATGATGTGACTAGTATGAACCACTATGAACTATGTAATTATTCAACTTGTGCTTACGTGGTGGTTTGGGTTGGTGGTTTGGAAGTCTGGGAATTGATGGTTTTGTAAACTTAGAAAAAACAAAAAATATCAAACCCTGCAAACAATGAAATCGTTGAAAATAAAGAAAACAAATTTAAAACAACAATGATTGCTACCAGATTAGGTTTGTTTTTGAATTGATATTCATCTTGTATCTCGGAAAATGTACTTATTTAATGTCCAATAATTTCACGTGATTGTTTAATTGATTATTGAATTCTAGTGCATTTTTCTGTACTTGTCTATTTATTTTTGAAATGGGGGAAAGACAGTTTCTTGAAACCGTGTGGTCCTATCCTGTACTCTGACTGATGCAGGTTTCATGGATTTTCCATGGAGCTTCCATGCAGGTTTCATGTTGGTTACATGCTGGGTTTGCAAATTTAGCTTACTGGTGGGTAACCTCCATGACAACTCCCTGGAACCTGCATGGAATCTGCATGGAACCTCCATGGAACCTGCATCAGTCAGAGTGCATGATAAAACCAACAAGTGTAGATAGAGGCACCACCTCCATAACGCACATGGAAACTGCATGAAATTCTACATCAATTCTCCATGGAACCTGCATGGAACCTCCATGAAAACTGCATCAGTTAGAAGGCGCCATGCAACCATCACGTTTAGACACAAGAAACAACGGTTACCTACATGAAACCTCCATGAAACCTACATCAATTCTCCATGGAACCTGCGTGGATACTCCATCAAGGAAGACGCCATACAATCATCAGGTGTAGATACAGGGAACATGTTCGGGTTTTTTTTTATGGAAACTACATGGAAACCATCAGACGTTTTGACGCAAATTGATCCCAAATCGATCGTAAATCGATCGTAAACTGATCGTAAAAAAACGCACAAAAACTGTCATAGCATCTGTGCGTTTTGATGTCGTTTTCACTAGGCCATCTGTCTTTGCTGATGTTTCTTTTGGTTTCTGTACTGGAAAAGTCAAATTCTTCCAGAATTTCTATTTATCTTGAGTGTTCGTTGCTTGGCGGTTTTGATGTTGGCAAGGCCAGGGTTTCAAGTGTGGACTTTGTAATGTGTCATTTTGATGTAGGATTTCGACGTTGTTTTGCGATCATTTTGCGATCCTTTGTCGATCGATTTGACATCGGCCTAAAAACGAATAAGAAGGCCATAAAACAACATCAATATGACATCGACAAGAACCTAAGGCCTGTAGAAAACGGCACTTGCCAATTCATATATTCATATGGTTTGGTGATCATAGAATCCAAGATGACATAAGTGAGTTCATTTCTCTTGGTGGTTTCGTCTTTTAATTAACTTAGTTTGCAATATTATATGTTAGGAACCTCCATCAAGTTGACACCGAGACAGACATAAAACTCCATCAAAATGACATCAAACAAAAATTCACATTTGAAACCTTGTCAAAATCGAAACCACCAAGCAGTGAACACTCAGGATAAATAGAAACTCTGGAAGAAATTGACTTTTCCAGTGCAGAAACAAAAAGGGACATCAACAAAGACAGATGACCTAGTGAAAACGACATCAAAATGCACAGTGCTATGACAGTTTTTGTGCGTTTTTTACAATCAGTTTACGATCGATTTACGATCGATTTGCGATCAATTTGCGTCAAAGCGTCTGATGGTTTCCACGTAGTGTCCACTAAAAAAAAAGTCTCTGTTCCCTGTATCTACACCTGGTGCTTGTATGGCGCTTCTTTGATGGAGTATCCATGCAGGTTCCATGGAGAATTGATGTAGGTTTCATGTAGGTTCCGTTGTTTCTTGTGTCTAAACGTGATGGTTGCACGGCGCCTTCTAACTGATGCAGTTTTCATGGAGGTTCCATGCAGGTTCCATGGAGAATTGATGTAGATTTCATGCAGTTTCCATGTGCGTTATGGAGGTGATGCCTCTATCTACACTTGTTGGTTTTACCATGCACTCTGCCTGATGCAGGTTCCATGGAGGTTCCATGCAGATTCCATGCAGGTTCGAGGGAGTTGTCATGGAGGTTGCACACCAGTAAGCTAAATCAGCAAACCCAGCATGTAACCAACATGAAACCTGCATGGAAACTGCATGGAAACTCCATGGAAACTCCATGAAACCTGCATCAGTCAGAGTACTGTACAGGATAGGACCGCAATGGAATTTGTTTCAAGAGAAACTGTTTTTTTTCTCTGCTTTGCTTTCATGTAGATTATTTAGATAGAATAGATAGGTAAGGTCACTTGGATAGAGTAGGCATATTAGATAGATCAGATAGAAAAGGTAGACTAGGTGGATTAGATAGATTAGATAGATTCATAGACAGACTTGAAAGATTAGAGAGGTTGGATTAGATTAGCTTAGATTAGATTAGATAAGATCAGAGAAGATTAGACTAGTTTGATAGACAAATAGACAAACAAATAAATAGATAGATTATGTAGATATATGAGATTGGTTGATAGATTGATAGATTGATAGGTTGATAGATTGATAGATTGATAGATTGATAGATTGATAGATAGATATATAGACAGACAAAAAAATAGATATATTGGATATTATATATTAGATAAGTAAATAGATAGACAGACAGACAGACAAACAAACAGATAGACAGATACTTAGAAAGATAGATTAGATTAGATTAGATTAGATTTAGATTTAGGATTTAGATTTAGGATTTAGATTTAGGATTCAGATTTAGGATTTAGAATTAGGATTTAGATTTAGGATTTAGATTTAGGATTTAGGATTTAGAATTAGGATTAAGAATTAGGATTTAGAACTTAGAATTAGGATTTAGAATTAGGATTTAGAATTAGGATTTAGAATTAGGATTTAGCATTAGGATTTAGCATTAGGATTTAGAATTAGGATTTAGCATGATGATTTGGCATGATGATTTAGCATTAGGATTTAGCATTAGGATTTAGCATTAGGATTTAGCATTAGGATTTAGAATTAGGATTTAGATTTAGGATTTAGAATTAGGATTTAGATTTAGGATTTAGATTAGGATTTAGAATTAGGATTTAGAATTAGGATTTAGGATTTAGAATTAGGATTTAGAATTAGGATTTAGAATTAGGATTTAGCATTAGGATTTAGCATTAGGATTTAGAATTAGGATTTAGAATTAGGATTTAGAATTAGGATTTAGAATTAGGATTTAGAATTAGGATTTAGAATTAGGATTTAGCATTAGGATTTAGCATTAGGATTTAGCATTAGGATTTAGAATTAGGATTTAGAATTAGGAATTAGAATTAGGAATTAGAATTAGGATTTAGAATTAGGATTTAGAATGAGGATTTAGCGTTAGGATTTAGAATTAGGATTTAGAATTAGGATTTAGAATTAGGATTTAGCATTAGGATTTAGCATTAGGATTTAGCATTAGGATTTAGCATTAGGATTTAGAATTAGGATTTAGAATTAGGATTTAGAATTAGGCTTTAGAATTAGGATTTAGAATTAAGATTTAGCATTAGGATTTAGGATTTAGAATTAGGATTTAGAATTAGGATTTAGAATTAGGATTTAGAATTAGGATTTAGAATTAGGATTTAGAATTAAGATTTAGGATTTAGAATTAGGATTTAGAATTAGGATTTAGAATTAGGATTTAGAATTAGGATTTAGAATTAGGATTTAGACTTAGGATTTAGAATTAGGATTTAGAATTAGGATTTAGAATTAGGATTTAGAATTAGGATTTAGAATTAGGATTTAGAATTAGGATTTAGAATGAGGATTTAAAATTAGGATTTAGAATTAGGATTTAGAATTAGGATTTAGAATTAGGATTTAGAATTAGGATTTAGAATTAGGATTTAGAATTAGGATTTAGAATCAGGATTTAGAATTAGGATTTAGAATTAGGATTTAGAATTAGGATTTAGAATTAGGATTTAGAATTAGGATTTAGCATTAGGATTTAGCATTAGGATTTAGAATTAGGATTTAGAATTAGGATTTAGAATTAGGATTTAGAATTAGGATTTAGAATTAGGATTTAGAATTAGGATTTAGAATTAGGGATTAGAATTCGGGATTGGAATTAGGGATTAGAATTAGGGATTAGAATTAGGGATTAGAATTAGGGATTAGAATTAGGGATTAGGATTAGGGATTGGGATTAGGGATTGGGATTAGGGATTAGGATTAGGGATTAGGATTAGGGATTAGGATTAGGGATTAGGATTAGGGATTAGGGATTAGGATTAGGGCTTAGGATTAGGGATTAGGATTAGGATTAGGGATTAGGATTAGGGATTAGGGATTAGGATTAGGGATTAGGATTAGGGATTAGGATTAGGATTAGGGATTAGGGATTAGGGATTAGGATTAGGGATTAGGGATTAGGATTAGGGATTAGGATTAGGGATTAGGATTGGGGATTAGGATTGGGGATTAGGATTAGGATTAGGGATTAGGATTAGGGATTAGGGATTAGGATTAGGGATTAGGATTAGGATTAGGATTAGATTAGATTAGATTAGGATTAGGATTAGATTAGATTAGATTAGGATTAGATTAGGTTAGGATTAGATTAGGATTAGATTAGGATTAGATTAGATTAGATTAGATTAGGATTAGATTAGATTAGATCAGGATTAGATTAGATTAGGATTAGATTAGATTAGGATTAGATTAGATCAGGATTAGATTAGATTAGATTAGTTAAACAAAAAATAAAACAAATACAAAACACACAAAAAAAACACACATTTTTCAAATCTATTTTGCACATAACTCTGATTTCCCAGACTTCCAAACCACCAACCCAAACCGCCATATAAGTATAACCTGAATTATTGGGTTTCATGATGTGACTAATAACATCTAATAACTACTGCCTAATCTATCTAATTATTGGGCTACCCAATTTTGACCCATACCCATATCTGCACATTTGGGTGGGATGCAAAACTGTATCTGCCACTTGGGTCTGAAACAAATCACATTGACCATGTTGGAGTTCCCTTGATGGGGCTCAAAAACTGGCCCACCCATCCCCCAGCAGTCCAACGCACTGAGGTCTTAGCGTGGCGCTAATCTTCTTCTTGGCGGTGTAATAACCTGGCCCACCAGAGAATCTAATGGGAAACACGGGAAAGGATCATATCACATGTTTGAAATTGAAACGTCAAGATATGTCAAGATATGTCAAGATATGTCAAGATATGTCAAGATATGTCAAGATATATATGTCAAGATATGTCAAGATATATATGTCAAGATATGTCAAGATATATATGTCAAGATATGTCAAGATATATATGTCAAGATATGTCAAGATATATATGTCAAGATATATATGTCAAGATATATATGTCAAGATATATATGTCAAGATATGTCAAGATATATGTCCAGCTATGTCAAGCTATGTCAAGATATGTCAAGATATGTCAAGATATTATGTCAAGATATGTCAAGATATGTCAAGACATGTCAAGACATGTCAAGACATGGCAAGACATGTCAAGACATGTCAAGATATGTCAAGATATGTCAAGATATGTCAAGATATGTCAAGTTGCCACAACACCCTGGTAGACTGAAATAGAATGGCCGTCCCCATCAACTTTTTGCAAAGAGTGTTTGGTCCCCGCACCGTGAGTCAAGTGTCCACCAGATGGCAGGTCCAGACCCATGACACGCGCATGGGGTGGCAGCAGGGCAGTGTAGACCTTGGGTCTCAAGGTCTGAACTCATCTTGAAACAGCAGGGCAGGTCTGACCTTCTTTGGGGATGGATGGGATGGGTTTCCTTTAGCTACTGTAGGCTTGAGGTGGAACCAGTCCACCAGTATCAAATCATCATTACACTACGTGCAAATGGACTTGGCAAGGGAAAAAACAAGTTTGGCCGTTCAACGCTGGGACACTGGGAGCTTTCTTCGTCCCAGCAACACACCCTCTCCAACGGTCACACAGCCATCGCAACTTGGCTCCCAACGGCAAAATTGGCGGGGCTGCCGCTGTATGGCTGCACGTTCACACCCCACTCCTGTCAGTTTGCCATGCTTCAGACAGAGCTACATTGCTTGCTCGGTTGTTGAGGATGAGCTCTTCGATGGGTACATGATGTAAATCGGTAGGCTCAAGCCTCTGGCTTCGGTTCATCCAGGCTAACCCATGGAGTCTCCAAAACTCCTCGAAAGCAGATTAATTTAAAAATTCAGTACAAGCAAACCAGCACCCGGAGGACGCCAAAATCGCGCAGCAAATGACGTCGTGATACTGAACGATATCCGTCCCGTGATGAACTTCATGGGAATTTGGCAATGTTCCATTGAATGGTCAGATTCCAAATTTGCTCGTTTTGTCAGATTCTTAAGCTCTATTTGTGTTGACAAAGTTCCGATTTTGTGGGTGAAATCTCGATGTTGAATCTATACATCTTTCTGCCAGGATTTCTTTTCTTTTCACTCAAAGATGAGATTTTATGTGTAGGAAACCCTTGGTTTTCAGGGCCAAATACCACCTTCCAAAGTCCCAAAAGCACCTTCTCATCCAGGCTGAAAGCCTTCAATGCGCGGTCCTTGCAGAGATTCTCCACCTGCGTTCTCTGTAACCGTTTCTGTGTTGGATATACCAAAGCGACGATGATACACTTCACTTCACTTCACTGGCACAAAAGGGAGTCCTTCCTTGCTGCCGCTTTTTTTTTTGCAAGTCGCCCTGTTGGTGAAGCAAGCACTGTTTTGCAAGTCGCCCTGTTGGCGAAGCAAGCCTTCTCAAGACGTGAACCGTCATCATGGAGGGGCCAAGGCCTTTCATGGAGCTCCATGGGGCCAAGGCCTTCCGCTCTTCTCAGTCTCCTTGCCGAGGTCCCTCGGTACGCCTCCCATACACCTCCCATACGCCTCCCATACACCTCCCATACACCCCCCGCACGCTCAAAATATTGTTTTTTTTCCACGTTTTTGCCAATTTTGGAACCCAGAAAGCCCAAAATACTGGGATTTTCCTGGTTTGCGCAAACATCGTATTTCGTGGCTGAAAACTTGCCCCCAAATCATGGTGGCGGAATATTTTTCGAGGTGGATGATCCGCCCTAAGCCGAATCTTAGTACCAAAGATAGTTCCATCAGCTGATGTTTGCTCTGGAAGGTCCAATGGTATCCAGCAAGTAATATTCTAATGTATGTACAGTAATGCAGAATTTTCAAGATTGTATGTGTATGGTGAGCCTGAATCAGGCGTCTTGATGAGATGGGTATCCGTTGGCTATTTGACATGTCGAGCAATATTTGATGTTGCGTTCATCCCATTTGTTAGCAACAGTTGTCTTTGCCCTTGTTCAACTTACTTATAGGGTAATTGTGTGAAATGTGCACGTTTCGTTGCGGTCCCGTCGGCTCATCATCTGGTGTGGTTGGACATACCATAACATAAGCCAGCTGTTTTCCCATGACGCACCCATAGGCATCCTATACTGCTCCCATAGAAGTGAGGTATATACCTGGTCTATACCTAGGCTTAAGGTTGCCCCCATACAGGGGGTACGGGCTTGAGGGGTACCTGGATTGTTCCTTGACAAATCCGGTGTATTCTCTTGCCTAATCCTTGCATTGTGCGTGAGCTGCAACAACGTCATGGCAGAGGAGAACCTCGGCAAGGAGACTGAGAAAAGTTTCTTCTCAGTCTCCTTGCCGAGGTTCTCCGATGGGAGGTGTATGGGAGGCGTATGGGAGGTGTACGGGAGGCGTATGGGAGGCGTATGGGAGGCGTATGGGAAACCCAAATTTAGGAAGAAAGAAAAACATATGAGAACATTGAACCCAATAGAAATGAAAATGCGAGGCAGTACTGATTTACTAAAGCAATGCCATGCAATGCCCGAAAAAAATATTCGCAAGAGAGCACTACCAAAAACAACCGAAATATCCTCTGACCAGACCAAAAGCATTGCTTTAAATGCTTGACTTGCCACCTGAGAACACCATCCCGCGGAGGGACATACAGTTGCCCCGGTGGGCATTGGCAAGCCCCTCAAAAACGTAAGCCGTTATGCTGGTATTCTAGAGCAACACATGGTTCCCCAAATCATTTTTTGCTTTTAATTGGCCAACACGATCGCTCAAGATCTGTCACAATTACACAAGGACCCAGCAAGCAAAACAGGAAAAACCTATCAGAAACGATCTGGTGAAATAAAGGTTGACAACAAATAGTAGCAGCCGGAAATATTGATTGGCTAGCTTTTGGATGTTTTGGGGCAATATCCACAGACCTCCCATGTTTTTGGAGCAAGATCCATAGACCTCCTATGTGGGGGTTCCAACTTTGCAGGTACCAAATGATCCCGTAGAATTTGAGCGCCATGGCAATGCCGACATCCCTGAGCTAAAAAGCGTCCCTGAGTGGCTTGAGGAAGAACTTGCAAAAACAGCTTGAGCCAATGGCTACGGAAACGACGATGATACAACCAACAAATGATGTTTGCCAACAAGCTGGGGGTTTTACCATAATGACAAGTAGTATGGTATAATATAAAATGTGAGATAAACTGCCAAATGATGGGTAAAAATTATCACGTAATCAAAGATGGCTGGCTGGGAAACTCCTGCTTTTAGTGCAAAAAAAAAACTACATGGATAATTTGAGGATTTGTCCATTGCATTCCATTGCCATGTTTGATACCCACAGATTGTGATTTGTTCAACTTTGAAAAACCTTGCTGGGTGTGGGTATGTCCAACTCTTGGATGTTCACTGCTTTGCGTTGGCTGGGCTAGTCCTTGCACCTTGTCGATCACCTCGTTTCCTCCGTAGTAGCCTTGTGCCAGCTGTGCTGCAGAGAACACAGTGGCTGAAAATCGGATATGCCGATATGCCCATGAAATTTCAGTAGGAAATTGTCGTGATGAATCATCAAATTTGCAGGGTTTTCCCTAAATTGTCAGACCCCTCCACCTTGAGACACTTCGATCTCCACTAAACCCGCCAGCCCTTCACCAGCCGCTGAGCTTCCGCACGCGCTCCTGGCTGACCCTCAGAGTACTTGTTGGTCAGCGCAGATCCAAGGCCTCAGCCAATGACAAGCTGTGCAGAGGCTTCACACCATAGATTCAGTGGGCTTTGTAGCCGATTTACGCCTATTTAATACATTTTAATACTAGGTTTGGCTTCAAAAACGCCAAAGAGTGAGGTTTTTGGACTCCCGATTGCACAAAGTCGTGCATTCCAAGCTATGCGACAGCCCGGCTTCACTTCCGCCACTGAGACTTTCTGACATTCCATGACAGCGCGGGAGGTGAAATTCTCAGAAGCCTCAGTTCCCATCGGGCACCACTGGGTTGGAAGGGCGTATTTGGGGTTCTCTGAAAATTTAGGGGAAAGCCCCGGTAATCCATTGGTTTATCACAATTGTCCGCATTCAATGGCTATACACGGGGGGTTCTACCCCATTTTCAGACACACACACACACACACTAGACAAGAATGGATCATTATATGATCCAGCAGGAACTGAATCCTGAAACATGCAGATTAGATACGAAACAATGAAATTAACGAAGCATCCTACGAATAATAGAAGTTCACCTGAATGGTTCCCATGTCCAAATTCGTCATCAAAAGGAATCGGCGATCGTAGTGTTGATACAATAATCCAAATACATCGGCGACATGTCGGCGAAATAATCCAAAAAAAACCCAAGTATCGTCGGCGACATGGTTTCGGCGAAAACTGAGGAAGGTTCTGATGCAGCGAAACAAATCATAAATGACCAAAATTGATTCCAGATTGCGACAACAGTGCAGTAACAAGACAGCGTGTTCAACAGTTCAAAATATCGCAGGTACGTTTTCACCCCCATGCTGTCTGGTCTTCGTTGGCCAGGACAGACAGTCATGGGTTCCTGGCCCCCTGCAAATGTGAGATAAAACCAAAAGAAGTTTTACATCTGTTCAGATGTTACACACACACACCCCGCATGTAGCGGGGTTTGATTTTGGAAGATCATCGCGGCTGAGGTCGGCAGAACCAATCCAATGCAATGAGACTACACGATGCTAGTATACAGAGCTGCGGTCATTTCACTCAGAAGGGAAATTCGCTTCGAGTTGAAGTATTTGGATCGCGTCGCGGAAGCTCATGCCTTCAACCATCCTCCATGTGTCGTTGATTTCTCCCGATGCCATCGCTGCCGTCAAAGTGGCTGAAAGTTGTTTGGCCAGCTCCTGGATCTTCGTAGTTAAGCGGGGTGCCTCCGTAGGAGAGGTGGTCTCAATGGGGACATTGTGAAAAGGATGATGCCCATGTACTAGAGGAATCTCAAAGTGATGACGCCAATAGTCCGCAGTGCGCAGGGACCACTCCCAGTTGCCCGAAAGGCCATAAAAGTAGTGCTCAGGATCACGACATTTGGATAGCCCCGACATGGGGATCTCTTCGATGAATAACTCCCTGGTGTTGTTGGAGTGCGTAATGATCTTGAAATGGATCTGGTGAACCACGCGTGATGAAAAGTGAGCACGATGGAAGAAGTTGTAGGTAGGACTTGGCTCAGTCGGGAAAGGAGCATCAGGTAGTGCAGGGCCTGAGTATGTATCGTTGTGGCGGTCAAAGGTGCCGAGGTAGTCGAGGTCGTAGGGTCAGGGGCAACAGGGTGACATAGTTCAGAAGCCGGGCCGCCTGACTCTGGCTCAGGGGCTGTGGAAGCGGGTCCACGGTTGGGATTCGAAGGCCAACCCAAGCCAGCCACGGTAGCGTCACGTTTATGCTCCATGGGTAAGACGGTCACGAAATGCGTTCAATGCCAAACCCAAAAGCTGAGGACGCGAAAATATATAAAAATAAGCCGAACCAGAGAATAAGAATAGTAATGATCAAGGAAGGAGTAATGCAAAGAACAAAAGGTGGTGGAAATTGAATCGAAAGGTGAAAATCCGAAGAGTCCGCCGTGTCAATAAAGTCTCATGAAAGAAAGGAGAAAGAAGAAGTAATGCATTTTCCTGTTCATCAGCGAAGCACATCAAGGTAGGATGACCCCAGGGCTAACCTTATGGCATCTCAGACGTAGCACGAAAGGCTGTGAAGTACCCGGTACGAGCAAGGTGGATTCGATGTAGTTGTACTGCCGGATTCGCCAATCAGGACGGTATTCTTCCAAAAGCTGCATGATGGTCCAATCATTGGGAACTTGGAAAGCATCACCTTCCAGATCGCCATAGCGAAACTCCAAATTCGAAGGTTCAAATTGAATGTCCCATTGGGTCCGTAATCTCGTTGTGATGGCGGTACGTAGGTCTCGAATGGGAAGAATGCCTGCTTCGATTGGTTCCAGCTGGCGTGACCAGGTAAAAAGAGCTTCAAGTTCGCCTGCACTAACATTTTTCAAATTTGAATTGGCAAGAGCCATGTAGCGATCACGGTCAGGTTCACTACGGAGTGTCAATTCCTGTAAAGGAGAGTAGTCAACTAAAATCAGGACAGGTCTGTATGGAGGAGGGTCCACATCACCAGGAAGGCCTCGATGTCCGGCAAGCCATGCGGCAGTTCGGGGACCTTGTGGTGTATCAACCCTGGATGTAGCGCGATATGGGTGAGGGCGAGAAGAGTGAGCCATGGCGTCGAGTATCAAGCGTGAAGCCCAGGCTGCAACATAAGAATACTAAAGAGGTCGAAAAATAAAACCCACAAGCAAGACACGGAAGAAGACGATGTACACACAACATGGTCACGAATCGACGTTAGGTCATTTTTTCTTCTTCATTCCGCCAAGTAATGTGGAGTGTTACACACTAGAGTCGGACATATCCATAGGGTCAGGTTCGTTCGCAGCAAGTGGACACTGTGAATGGTGAGCAGGTGCGGTAGGGTTATTGGAATGTAAGGTCCGGTGAAGTGTTGTCGGTGGTGAGGAAGGTGGTGTAGATCTCCATGGTGGCCAAGATAGAGAGGTGGTAGTACCTTGTGAATGGTGTTGAGCCGAACGTCCCCAGCATGATTGTAAAATGTGAAGCTGGTCGGGTATCGCTTCATACGGTTGAGAAACGTAAACGTTGGTGTGTTCGGGATGTGGGAGAACAGGAACGGAAGTTGCCGTAGAGGAGGAAGATGATTGGATGGGTACATCATAGTACTGTCGCCAATGGTTAGCCGTGGTGCGTAAGGTGGCACGATCACTGGTAAGGTGCATGTTCTCCAAAAATGTTTCCACTGGTTTCCACGTTTCAATACCATCTAGTGCCCTTTCCACGATCCAAAGTTCAGCAGGACGAGAAGACAAGGGGTAGCTAAGCTTCTTAATAAACATAGAATGAACGGTCGAAGAGGTTGGGGTCATTCTGGCTGCCCTGGGAATGTATGATGCCGAAGTAGGATCATCGGGTGGTAGATGTGAATCTGGACCTTGTACCGATGTAGGTGAGGAGCGGGTTGGGTCCAGCCGAAGAACATCATCAGTCGCGGAGGTCGCCATGTACAAAAGCATTAATATGATATCGAAACGAAATGAGCTGAAGCCGAAATTCCGTTGGAAGAAGTCCATATTGGAAAAACAACAACGAGAAGTATAGTAGGGGACACCATGAGATCATAGGAACTCAAAAATGGATCAACAGAAAGGCGTAAGATTTCAAGATCAGGTCTTTTCCCTTTTCTATAGACGTGAGCGGGTCAAGGTTGTATCTTGAAAAGCTTGTCACGCAGCGGTCTTAGTGTATACAGTGACGAATGGATGCCCTCGAGGAATCACTTGAAGATGGACAGCAAAGCCCGTGTCTTGCGGATCTGGATGGGGTGTCAGCAACAAAGGTGAGCAGTCACGAGAAGTGAAGGCATCGAGATGTTGATGAGTTTTCCATGACGGGTAGAACCAGTTCAAAATGTCCAGGAGCGAATGAGGGAGGTCATCAAGCATCTGAGCTCCTTGGTCGGTGTCGATCATCATGTAGAAGTCCGTCGCCTGTAAATGTATCGACCATCTCTGTAGAAGCGTGTCCGTCACCACTGTTTTCAGGTCTGAAACGAAATGACTGCGGGCGTAGTCAGGGTAGATCACCTTGAAGGTCTGGAACAGGCTATCATATGCTTCAGTGGAGAGGTTGCCCGCGACCTTGGGGGCCAGGATGTTGTAATATGGGTTTCTGGCTGCCAATTGCTGCATAGGTTTCAGGTCCAATTGGAAAATAACCGGTCGATGGGGTGTAGAAGGCGGAGATGTCCGGCCGGGTGGGTGCTGAAAAGGTGAAGAACCCGTAGCGGAAGGTGGTGCCCTGGTCGGAGAGCGTGATCGTCGGGTAGGAGAGATACCGTCGTGGCCATAGCTCGCTGCTGGCAATGTCGGTCCAGGTGAATGCGGAGAGACATAATAAATGGCTAACGGTGTAGATAATGTGGAGTTTGAAGGTTCAAGTCGAGCAACCATACCGACAGGGTTAAGACTGTAAAATAATGTAGTGCTAGGTTAGGCAATACCGTAACGCAAAGGAGAATAGATACACAGGAGGTTGGGTATTGAAGATGGTACACGGTGCCGCCGGGCCTCTTTTTCTTGTTTGCATGTCGCCGGTGGTCAGCCAAGTTTGTCTTTGATCTTATTCCACATAGAGCGAACGTCTTCCTCCGATTTGCCCATCTTGGTCGAGATCACTCGCCACGAAAATCGAGACTTTTCATCCGCCTTCAAAGTACGAAGTTTCTGTTTGTCTTCAGAGGTCCAAATTGACAATGGGCTCGAGGAGCGGGATCTTGATTTGTCGTGTCGGCGACGACGTTTTGCAGGTGCTTTGGGAACTGCTTTGGCTTTCTGTTTGCGATTCGGAGTTGTTGGTGTGGTGGTTGAAAGCTTCGAGGGTGCAGGGAGGACTTCAGGTGACGGGGCAGCAACGTGGTGATGTGGTTCAGGAAGGTTTGTTTCCAAAAGCTCATCCATAAGTGTCTCTTCCTCAGCCATGTCCGGCGAAGGGATGTGGGCAGTGTCAATAAAGGCGTTGGTCCGGTCCGAGTAGTGCGGTCGTAGCCCATCAGGTTGATTCCATACGTCTGTGCTGGGAAGAGGTGTAGGTTCGATATTGGGGATGAGAGTAGGTGGAAGTAACGCCATTGCTCGGTGTAGTAGGAGATAAGCATGGTGAACATCATGAAGAAATTGAAGAAACACCGGTTCTTGAATCGGAATTGAAGTTGTAGGAGACGAAGAAGCCATCACGCGGTGTCGAATAAGGCCCAAGGTATAAATGGAAACGAGTGTGAGGGTGAGCCAGCTGAAAAGGCAATACAACGACATTGGGAAAAATAAAGTTCAAGTGGAAAGGGTGAGACG